ATCCTCGTATAGTTCATGATCCCGCGTTCTCGAGGCGTGGTGTACACCCGAACGACCCATGGCTCCCTGGACATGGCCTACGACTCGAAGTCGGAGCGACACCACTCCCTACTGCACCTCATCGACACAATTCGAAGAGGTCGCATCGAGATGTCGAACCTGCTCCATCAACTCGCATGCCAATGTCGCTGCAAGCCATCTTGTCACCTCCAGGCCTCCCGACAACGACAATAACAACTAGCGCGTCCTACTCGTCTCACGGAGCGTCTACATTGTCTTATCCATATCACCCACATCATCATCATCAGCCGCAGGAGCCTCTGTCGGCTGCGCCGTTCTATGCATCATCCACAAAGGTACATCAGCTCCCGACGCCCTTACCCACTCCGACCTCTCCTCCCCCAAACGTATTGTCTGGAGACGCGAAACTCAAGATATCCGTGCAGACTCGACGTGATCACCAAGACCAAGAGCAACCTTTTTCATCTGTGGCGACCTACATTCGCACTCAGCATTCTGCACGGAACGGTACTCATCAGAGCAAATCGGCGTCTACATCTTCTGCTGCTGCAATTTCATCCAGCGCCGCGACACACCTGAGAAAAGCAAGCCATCCGACGAGCCCGACGACAACTTCGACAGTGCGAAAGATGACAGCTTCGGGTCCGTTTGCTGCTGGTCAGTCCGCCCGTAAAGCCTACTTCCACACGCGCACGGCTTCGGGAGCGAGCGCAGAGTCGAGCTATGGATCTGGTAGTGGTAGTGGGAGCGTCGTGTCCAAGCACTCGCTCGCGGCCATGTTAAATCCAGTATCACCTGCAGAGTCGGCTTCGAGGAGGGCGGATTATTTCTCAGAGCAGCAACAACCCCCAACCTCAACCCCAAATGATGTCGCCTGTTGTGGCGCCGATGGTCACACCCCAAACGACGACCATCCCCATTCGCAAGGAATTGTGGGATGTGGATGCGCTCGACCCTAACCTTGTTCGTCTGCACGAGCAAATCGTCACGACCTGGTGGGCCACTGGATTGGCCCCGGAGGTTGCCGTGCAGATGCAATGGGTCGACACGCTTCCCCTGCAAGATATGAACATGTACTCGTTGGGAGAACAAATGTTTACCAACGTGCTCAAGCATAAACTCACATTGCTCTGATCTCGTCTTTCTTGTGAGTACCGAGCTCCTCACCTTCGGTGGCAATGTGCTCATAAATTTTTAGGCTCATCTTGTTCTGCCTCGAATTATTTAAAACGTTATTTTTTTTCTTGATTTGTCGACGCAAAAAGCACCAAGTTTTTCACATCGATTTCGGCATCACGGCAACCGTACATGTAACTCCCAAGACTGCAACGACTTTCTCCCAGTTTCTCCCTCCACGCATCTCAAAACTTCTCTTCGCTTCCCCCCTGTTTTGTCGTGCAACAACCACCATCCCACCACTTTGTGCCCAACGGCCTC